TTTACATTTTCTCTACATCTGCGGATCGTTTCTATGGCTGCTATATGATATTGTTGTCCGACTTTCATAAAATGTATACCAAAATTCTATAATAATAAGTAAAGCTCATATCTCAGAGTAGATGAAAATACGTTGAAAAACAACGAAGTTATAATTTTTTCTATTACTTTCCCTATCGTTCCTATGGCAGCTATAAGATATAGTCGTCCGATTTTCATAAAATTTTTACCAAAATTTTGAAATAATACCAGAAGCTCATGTGTCAAAGTAGATTAAAATACGTTGAAAAACAACGAAGTTATAATTTTTTGATTAATTTCCCGATCGTTCCTATGGCAGCTATAAGATATAGTGGTCCGATTTTCATAAAATTTTTACCAAAATTCTGGAATAATATAAAAAGGCTATATCTCAAAAATGATGGAATAATATTGAAAAACAGCCAAGTTAAAATTTTTTTCTAAAATTTTATCGAACATTTGTATGGCAGCTATATGATATAGTCGTCCGATCCGGCCCGTTCCGACATATATAGCAGTGAGAGTATATAGAAGACTATATGCAAAGTTTCATTCAGATAGCTTTAAAACTGAGGGACTAGTTTGCGTAAAAACGGACAGACGGACGGACAGACGGACAGACGGACATGGCTAGATCGACTCGGCTGTTGATGCTGATCAAGAATATATATACTTTATAGGGTCGGAAACGTCTCCTTCACTGCGTTGCAAACTTCTGACTGAAATTATAATACCCTGCAAGGGTATAAAAATAGGTCAAGTAGGGTGTCACAGGAGCTGCTGAAATGCGTTGGCGTCGTGTCGTTAGCTGGATAAAAACCCAAGGACTCAAAATTATCTAAAAGGTGTCTTTCCTTTAACAGATTGCTGTTAAAGTCCCCTGCCAAGATGACATCTGTGTACACTATAGATAAGTCGGCAATTGTTGTCAGTAGTGGCTCGTATTCAGTCGTGGTGTTGGGTCGGTATATACAGCCAATCAGCGTATTTCTATTATTTTTACAACATATATCTAGAAACAGGTACTCTAATGGACAATCACTGGGTTGTTTACATTTAACAGTACATTTAAGAGTTGTTTTAACAAAAATAGTTCGGATCGCGTCGGTCATGCAGGAGGGGTGCATGACCGACGCGATCCGAACGATACACAGCATATCCATCACACGACAATAGTACATCACAAACATTTATTGAGAACCACGTCTCAGACACACAAATTACATCTACGTCAGAATTAATAAAAAGAAACCGAAATTCATCCATTTTTCGCAGTAGACTTTGCGCATTTGGATTAACAACTTTGAGCCCGATTTTACGTTTGCTAATAACTTTTATCAGGCTATCAGTTATGGAACGCCTTACTTCATCCGGCACTGGAAGATTTGGCTAAAGTTAGGAATGCAAGCTCAATAACTGCAAACCAATTTAAAAACATAGAAGTGTAAACAAACAACAAACGATAAAAAAATTCTAAAGATAACTTAACTAAGAGAAAATGATAAAATTGATTAAGAGCGAAAGCTAGGTTCCGCAGCGACAGCATCTCCAGCTTCCATCGTAGCGCCAGAGAGAGAAGTGGTGAGAGACGAAGAGAGAGGGTCGGCAGTGAGCGTCGAAAGCTCGCTCATGTGCGCGATGCAGTTTACGCCCTCTCTGCCCATGCAGCGAACGTGAACTAAGCCACGGCGGGTGAAAACGGCTGTGAGAACACGATGCTTTTTCATACGCATGGCTTCTTTAAAGATGAGATAATTATCTCTCGTCAGCTGCTCATTGACATAAACTGCAGCGTCCTAGTCGATACCAAATAGCTTTAAAGTTAGTTGGCATTTACGCTCGCGCCGGTACGCCCCAATTTGCTTGAGGAGTGCGATCATCTTCCGAGCGCTTTCCATCTTGACGATGATCACCGGGTCGACGTGCGTGTTTTGGGTTTTCCGGGCGCGAAAGATATCCCGGATTCTTGGAGGGGGTGTAAGCTGCAGGTTGAAGCACAGCGTGTGGAATAAGGCTCGGACATTTTCGCCCTCACCGTATGGTACGCCGTGTATGCGCATCTCGTACGCCCGGTTATGCTCCTGCTGAGATGCCAGTTTTGATTCCAGTTGGGCCACCTTTCCACACAGTGCACGCAGAGCAGCGACCTCCCTGTCCAATTGCCCGACCTTCTCATCCAGTCTGTCCCGTTGTGAGCGGAGATCGATCACTTCCTCCGATAGTTTATTTATTTTTTGGCTAAACCTGAGTTCAAGCTCCGCCAGAATTCGTTCTTCAGCTTTTCCCAAACTTGAACTGATATGCTCATTCTGCTCCGTAAAGCGTTTGTTGATAAGATCAACCAACTCCATTGCCAGGGTATCAGATTGTCGACCCGCCTTCAGATCGATCGACGAGTCAGTTCGCACCCGTTTTGGTGCCGATGCAGTTAGCGAGCGTGTAACCGGGGCTGACATTGTTGTTGTTTATGTTAGAGCTTACTCTGTTTTCTATCCTTTGCTATTCTTTCTGTTGGCGTTGTTGTTGCGGTTGGTCTGCTCTCTCGTGCTCGCCGGCAAGGAGAGTCGAAGAAAGGTAGGTGGCGTGTAGAAAGAGAGATAAGCGGGTTGGTTCTCACGGCTGCTCTCAGCACTGTTGTTCTCAGTATAGGCAAAGATAAGCTTGTAAATCCAAAGGTCAGGTGGCTCTCCCAATTAAACAACTTCGTTTGTTTAATATTGTTGTGCACTTTATGTTGATGATTTGCACTGGGAAGATGTTGCGGCAACACTGAACTTTATGTGGTTTAATTTATGTTAATTATTGTTGAGTTTCTTGGCAGATTTTAATTTTATGACAGAGGTAACAAAATAAACGTCTGCTCTCTGTGAGATGTAAATTTTGTTTTTTTTTTTATTTATTTTTTTTTTTTCTTTGCAGTATTGCAAGTGTGAAACATTTTTGCAACGAGCTCCTTTAGTAAACTTACAAAGTACTGGTAAATGGTCCGATGAGAGTCAATCAGTAATCAGTATGCACAATTGGCTCGGAGAAATTTGTCGGTGTATTGATAAGGAAAATATCAAGAGTTAAAGGCTTGCTACTAAAGTTTGCTGGTATATAGGTTGGCTCGGGCTGCTGCTCGTCGGCTGGCTGCAGCCGATGTGGTGGGCCCTTCTAGAGAGACCACTAGCTCCGCTACGAGCGGTCCGAAGATTTAGCGGATGCTCCCCTCCCTTCCCACGTCGGGTTGACCCGGGCGAGGGGGTGTCCTCTGGCCGGCGGTAATCCCGGGCGTGTTGGCGGCTGTACCGGCGTCGGTGTCAGGGGCACGGCTAGTGGTGGCGGCCGTGTGGTGGTCCTGGCTGGTAGTGGCACTGTTGCTGTGGTCGCTAAGGTTTCTGTGGTTGCTGAGGTTGCTGAGGTTGGTGCCCCCAGCCCTGGTGGCTGTGGTGTCCAGGATGACGGCAGGCGGTCCGCCGGCAGCGGTTCCGGTGACCCTCGCGTCCCCAAAGGGCGTCGCGTTGGTGGTCCCGGTAGGTGCTGCCGCGGCCGATGATGCGCCCATGATGTGGGCCATGTTCCCGTTGGAACTGTCGGTGGTGTTGGCCGTGGTCTCCCCGGCTTTGTCTGTCTCCGTTTGGCCAGGGTAAGGGCCAGGTCCGAATAGAACCTCGTACGCTGGTGGTGGCGTCTCGTAGCGGGGGGGCGGCCCCGCCTCCGTTCCGTCGTGGCCCTCCTCGTCGGAGATGACGATGGCGTCGCGCGTTGAGTCCGGCTCCTCTTCTTCCCCGGAGCTTAACTCTAAGATCTCCGGAGCAGGCCTGATTATCTTCCACATGCAGATTGATCCTAGCTTTAATTAGTCTTTCAAAAATTTTAGAGAAACCATATAGCAAACTTATCGGTCGGTAATTATTTGGACAATCCAGTGGCTTTCCTGGCTTTGGAATTGGAATAATTCTTGCAATTTTGAAATTTTTGGGGAAATAACCAATTTGAAGACATTTGTTCATGATTAGAGCAAGAAAGTCTATCGCAATTTTTGGTAAATTTTTTAGACAAATGTTTGGAATTTTATCAATGCCAGGCGATTTATTCTTTTTTAGTGACTTTATTATAGCGTCGATGTCATTAGGAGTTATTTCAGGTATGAAAGTCAAGTCATTCGAATTATATAATTCGCTTAAAGTATTGTGATCTGCAGTTGAGGTATTATAGTCTGAGTTTCTCAGTAATGTGATGTTTTAATTCAAAAACTTCTGCTAAGATATCTGCTTTTTCTGCTCTTGTGGAAAACACATTGTTATTGTGTATGAAACTTAGGATAAACTATTTTTTGTTCTTAATAATTTTAGTAAGCTTCCAAAAAGGCCTGGAATTTTTGTCCAATTTAGACAGTTTAAGATTCCATTTGGCAATGTTATATTCAAATAGTTTCTGACGAATCATGCGGTTAAAATAGTTTACCCTAGCCTTAAAGATGGGTTGTCTGATCCATTTTCTTTGATTTGTGTTTCTATCACTGATGATATTTTTAATACACCTTGGAATTTTTTTTAAACTATGGGCCTAGCAGGCACTTCGGGTACACACTGTTTTATTCCATTATGATTGTCTGATTAAAGACAATCGAGCATTTATCTACTTCTTTCTCCGCTTCAAAAATCGAAAATAATTCCAGATTGACTAGGGATGCGACATTGAGGATATGCTTACTTTTTTTTCCAGTTAGCTTTTGAGTATTGCAAGTGTGAATCATTTTTGCAACGAGCTCCTTTAGTAAACTTACAAAGTACTGGTAAATGGTCCGATGAGAGTCAATCAGTAATCAGTATGCACAATTGGCTCGGAGAAATTTGTCGGTGTATTGATAAGGAAAATGTCAAGAGTTAAAGGCTTGCTACTAAAGTTTGCTGGTATATAGGTTGGCTCGGGCTGCTGCTCGTCGGCTGGCTGCAGCCGATGTGGTGGGCCCTTCTAGAGAGACCACTAGCTCCGCTACGAGCGGTCCGAGGGTGGAGCGGATGCTCCCCCTCCCTTCCCACGTCGGGTTGACCCGGGCGAGAGGGGTGTCCTCTGGCCGGCGGTAATCCCGGGCGTGTTGGCGGCTGTACCGGCGTCGGTGTCAGGGGCACGGCTAGTGGTGGCGGCCGTGTGGTGGTCCTGGCTGGTAGTGGTACTGCTGCTGTGGTCGCTAAGGTTTCTGTGGTTGCTGAGGTTGCTGAGGTTGGTGCCCCCAGCCCTGGTGGCTGTGGTGTCCAGGATGACGGCAGGCGGTCCGCCGGCAGCGGTTCCGGTGACCCTCGCGTCCCCAAAGGGCGTCGCGTTGGTGGTCCCGGTAGGTGCTGCCGCAGCCGATGATGCGCCCATGATGTGGGCCATGTTCCCGTTGGAACTGTCGGTGGTGTTGGCCGTGGTCTCCCCGGCTTTGTCTGTCTCCGTTTGGCCAGGGTAAGGGCCAGGTCCGAATAGAACCTCGTACGCTGGTGGTGGCGTCTCGTAGCGGGGGGGCGGCCCCGCCTCCGTTCCGTCGTGGCCCTCCTCGTCGGAGATGACGATGGCGTCGCGCGTTGAGTCCGGCTCCTCTTCTTCCTCGGAGCTTAACTCTAAGATCTCCGGAGCAGGCCTGATTATCTTCCACATGCAGATTGATCCTAGCTTTAATTAGTCTTTCAAAAATTTTAGAGAAACCATATAGCAAACTTATCGGACGGTAATTATTTGGACAATCCAGTGGCTTTCCTGGCTTTGGAATTGGAATAATTCTTGCAATTTTGAAATTTTTGGGGAAATAACCAATTTGAAGACATATGTTCATGATTAGAGCAAGAAAGTCTATCGCAATTTTTGGTAAATTTTTTAGACAAATGTTTGGAATTTTATCAATGCCAGGCGATTTATTCTTTTTTAGTGAGTTTATTATGGCGTCGATGTCCTTAGGAGTTATTTCAGGTGTGAAAGTCAAGTCATTCGAATTATTTAATTCGCCTAAAGTATTGTGGACTACAGTTGAGGTACTATAGTCTGAGTTTCTCAGTAATGTGATGTTTTAATTCAAAAACTTCTGCTAAGATATCTGCTTTTTCTGCTCTTTTGGAAAACACATTGTTATTGTGTATGAAACTTAGGAGAAACTATTTTTTGATCTTAATAATTTTAGTAAGCTTCCAAAAAGGCCTGGAATTTTTGTCCAATTTCGACAGTTTAAGATTCCATTTTGCAATGTTATATTCAAATAGTTTCTGACGAATCATGCGGTTAAAATAGTTTACCCTAGCCTTAAAGATGGGTTGTCTGATCCATTGTCTTTGATTTGTGTTTCTATCACTGATGATATTTTTAATGCACCTTGGAATTTTTTTTAAACTATGGGCCTAGCAGGCACTTCGGGTACACACTGTTTTATTCCATTATGATTGTCTGATTAAAGACAATCGAGCATTTATCTACTTCTTCTTTCTCCGCTTCAAAAATCGGAAATAATTCCAGATTGACTAGGGATGCGATATTGAGGATATGCTTACTTTTTTTCCAGTTAGCTTTTGAGTATTGCAAGTGTGAAACATTTTTGCAACGAGCTCCTTTAGTAAACTTACAAAGTACTGGTAAATGGTCCGATGAGAGTCAATCAGTAATCAGTATGCACAATTGGCTCGGAGAAATTTGTCGGTGTATTGATAAGGAAAATGTCAAGAGTTAAAGGCTTGCTACTAAAGTTTGCTGGTATATAGGTTGGATCCTTGAAATATAGAAGCGAACATTTTCCTGTTGACAAAAGCTCATTGTTCAGGTCAGGAGCTTATGTTCCCGCCCCCCGCGACTCCGAAGCGCTCCCGCTTCTTCAAAGCTCCTCAGCTCGCTCTCTCGCTCCCGCTCTTCTAGTGGATGCTTCGACTCTGGCCGATCGTCGCATCGCTGAGCGGCCGCTCCCGCTCTCCTAGTTGTTTGATCTCCCACTCCAGCTTGTACATTTTAATTCCTAACTAGAACTCCAATAAAGCGGTCCAATTTATACATTGAAATTACCACGCCCCCCCGGCCTACTACTTCTTTTCGTTGGTGGTGATTTTATCGCGATTTCGGTGATTTCTACGGTGGTTTCGTTGACTGCGGCGCGGGAGTGTTCTATATTAACCTTTGTGCCTATCTGGAAATATTGGGAATTGAATTTCCCCCCCTCGAGCCGAACATTTGGTCCTACAGAGCCGGATTTGTGGATTATTTGGATTTTTTCTGGATTTTGGATTCCGGATTTTTTCTACAACTCCGCTTCACCAGCAGTTCTCGGCGTTTTCTGCTTCCAAGATAAGTACTCCGTATTCCGTCGCCCCCCTCGCTGCCGATCTTCAGCAGTAGTCCGAACAATTAATTTCGGTCACTCTGCTGCAAGATTAATTTTCCGTGTCGACTCCAAGAGCGAGTTTTCCTGACAACGGCAGTTGAGGAATTTTCCATTTCCTATTTTCCATTTCATAAAATTGGCAAATTTTTTCAATCCGTCTCCGTTTTAAACGTCGCCATATTCTTTTTCGTCCGCTTTCCTCTACATAATGGCATTTATCCGTACATCAATGTACAAAACGGTTCCGACACAAAATTAAAAATTCATACATACATATGTCCATACATCTGTCTACATAAAGACATTGATTTTATTTCACACAATATAAAAAGAAAAAATTATTAAGATTCCGATCATAAAAAATTACAAATAATAAAGAATACAGTCCGCTGCTAACATCCACATCCATATATACACATATATTATTATATTATTCCATATTATATTTTCTCCAGGTCAAATATATATTATTCCATATTATATTTTTTCCCATCCACACACATTTTCATACAACAAAAAAAAAAAAGAACCCAGAAAATAAAACATAATAAATAAAGAATAAAATATTAAAACAAAATTTTATAAGCCAGTGTCCGTCTTTTTTCTGCATTTTATTGGTGCGCTATATACATACATACATACATAACCAAGAGCTTTACATTCTTTACAACGAACATTGAATTGAGAAAAAAGGTGTCAGGTGTTCCGATCCCACCATTCCGATCGAATTGCTTTTTTCCATACAATTAATATTTTTTGTTAATAATTAACGAATTAATTGATCATTTAATACTTTTTAAAGTTTGCACGCGATAAATATCCGCAATTGTCAAGGGTACTCCATATATATTTTCTTTGCATTTATTGGGTTATTATTAAATACGAAAATAATAAACAACTCGGCAATTCCATTCCGCAATTATTTATAAATATAAATAAATTTCCATTCTCGTCGCATTTGCTCCAATTAATATTGGCTCCTCTACACATATTTTCGATCATCGTCGCTTCTACGTCAAGTAAATTTTTTCCAGTTTATTTACTTGTAATTCTGAGATTGGTTAAATCCACCATCTAACATTTGAATTCTACGGCATATTCCTGCCATCCATACTCGCTTCGTTTTGACCGTCTCACATTTCTACTTCGGCGATTTAGTATTGGGAGCAAATAATTCTACGATTTGAATTTTATTGGTTAATTCTGAGATTGATTAATTCTACCATCTACCATCTACCATCCTAGTTCTGCGGCATATTCTTGCCATCCATATTCGCTTCGTTTTTACCGTCTCACATTTCTATTTCGGCGTTTTTAGTTGACGGTATTGACCACAACTAAGTCTAACATTTGAATTCTACGGCATATTCTTGCCAATCCAATCCAAAAAAAAAATGTCGGAAGGACAAGAACCAATTCCGCAAGACGCGAGTCAGAAGAAGGAGGCAGCGCAGTTAGCGCCTTCAACAGATGGAAGTCAAAGGCGGGAACCGAGTCCGAGAAACACGGGCGCGGGACCGGCAAGTAATTTGAGATCCAAAGCCAAGACCACTTTAGACGTTATTTTGCTTGAGTTCATAGAAACTAGTGACCGTCTTAGCAAATTTGAAAGCCAGATATTTACGGCATCCTCTTCCGAGCCTAACTTGTTTACCTTAAAGATCCGTCTGGATCAGATACAATCCTTATGGGGAAAGGTTGAACGGGAGTATGAAACCGCTTCCAGAGCAGCTCTTCGCGAAGGAGGTAGCGGAAATCTTTCGTTACTGCAAAACAAATATGAGCACTGCTATGCGGTGTTCGAAAGATGTGCTTCGAAGCTAAATGAAGACATCGCCCGTATGTCCGTCCCCACTTCACCGCCAAGAACAGCTCCGCCGACAGAGACATTCTCCAGGGGTTGCAGTCTTCCGCCATGCGATACCGAGATCTTTGACGGAGATTATCTGCGCTGGCCCACCTTTCGTGACCTGTTTACGGCCATTTATGTAAACAATTCCAGGTTGACTCCAGTGGAAAAGCTTTTCCACTTAAACGCCAAAACTAGCGGTGAAGCTCACGCCATTGTGGCGAAGTCTCCGCTAACTAATGATGGCTTCCAATCCGCGTGGTCAGCGCTTCACGATCGTTTTGAAAACAAACGCGCGTTAGTAAACAATCAGCTTAAGAAATTATTTAACATGGCGTCCATTGAACGCGAATCCTCGGCAGCCTTGAAGGAGCTGCAAAATACAATCCAAAATTGTCTAACATCGCTGAGAATTTCCGGCCTTTCTACTGAGAATTGGGATTGCCTCCTTGTTTATTTGTGCTCCACAAAACTTCCAAAGCTGACGCTTTCATTATGGGAGCAATCCATCGAACAAAAAACCGAAATTCCTACGTGGCCGGAACTTGATTCATTCCTAACAGAGCGCTATAGAACTCTGGAAGCCATAGATTCTATCCAGCCTACTGTGACACACTTTCGTTCATCTAAACCGACAATTTCCAACCCATCGCCACGAGTACTACAATCCTTTAGTACGAGGATTCTACATACGTCCAAAAGATGCGATTTGTGTTCTGCAGAGAACCATCCAGTGCGTTTGTGTCCACGCTTCCTTCAGATGACGATAGTCGATCGATCATCTTATATCCAGAAAAAGCAGTTGTGCTTAAATTGCTTTGCAAGCGGTCATCCACTCCGTAATTGCACAAGCGCCCACAATTGTCTTACTTGTCACGGTCGGCATCACACTTTGTTGCATCCAAGCGACTCGTCTTCTAGTGTTCCGATTCCTCGTGATGACACCCGACAAATATCTCCACCTATCCAACGGATTTCGTCGTTCTCTACACGAGTGACCAATGCGGTCGACTCCTTCAATTACTGGGTTCCATACAACGACGGCAAAAGCAGACGTTCCCGAGGTATTTCATCCTACCAATGCCGAGTCTGTCAAGGGAACCATCCTCTTCGGAAGTGCCACCGTTTTCTTCGGCTTGATGCGAAGAAACGGCTCCAGGCAGTCATCGACAGGAAATACTGCGTCAACTGCTTGGCCCACCACCATTCTGGAGGATCTTGCCGTAGTAACGACCGATGCCAGTCGTGTGGACAGGATCATCACACACTTCTACATGCCGACGACCGCTCAGCGACTCCAACACTTTCTCGAGCGAAGGACTTCTGATATTTTGCTGCGTATCCTCGCAAGGGGGGAGAATGTTCAGGTCAGGAGCTTATGTTCCCGCCCCCCGCGACTCCGAAGCGCTCCCGCTTCTTCAAAGCTCCTCAGCTCGCTCTCTCGCTCCCGCT